TTAAGACGCGATATGGGCATTTCGAATGGCTGGTTATGCCATTTGGCCTTACGAATGCCCCGGCCACTTTCCAAGCGGCTATGACAACGGAGTTCTGACACATGCTGGATCGATTCGTACTTATCTACCTCGACGACATCCTGGTGTACAGACGGAGTTTGGACGAGCATGTGGAACACCTGCGCACCGTTTTGGAGCGGCTACGACAAGCCAAGTACAAAGCCAACCGCGACAAATGCGAATTCGCGCGGCAGGAGATGCAGTACTTGGGACATTATGTGACGCTGCAAGGCATCCGTCCGCTTGCGGACAAGATCGAGGCCCTACGAGTATGGCCCGAGCCCATTAACACCACGGACGTTCGTTCATTCATGGGGTTGGCGGGTTACTATCAGCGATTCATCACCGGATACTCAAGGATTGTTGCACCTATGACGAGATTACAATCGCCAAAGGTGCCATTCGTATTCGATGACGACGCACGCCGGTCATTCCAAGCACTTAAGACGGCCATGCTCATGGCACCCGTCCTTAGCATATATGACCCCACCCTGCCTACGAGAGTGACAACTGACGCTTCCGGCTATGGCACTGGGGCAGTTTTGGAACAACACGACGGCGACGACTGGCACCCTGTGGAGTATTTCAGCCACAAAGTGCCTCCCATCAATTCGCTTGATGATGCAAGGAAAAAGGAGCTGCTCGCGTTCGTGATGGCTCTCAAACGATGGTGGCACTTCCTCCTTGGGCGTCGTAGGTTCACATGGGTCACGGACAACAACCCATTGACCTACTATAAGACGCAGGATACGGTTAGCAACACGATCGGACGATGAATGTACTTCATCGACCAATTTGACTTTACACCGAAACATCTCCCCGGCCTCTCCAATCGCGCAGCAGATGCACTCTCGCGAAGACCTGATCTTTGCGCTATGACACATCATGCCTTTGCATTCGACGAGGAACTCCAACAACACTTCATCCGGGGCTATGAGTCGGATCCGGACTTCGCCACGTTGTATGCGCAGCTATCTTCGGATCACCTGCCGGCCAGCCACTATCGCATTGCCGACGGGTACTTGCTCCTCCAGTCGAGAGGCAAGGACTTATTGTGTGTCCCACGAGACCGTCGTCTTCGGACTCGCCTTCTCGGGGAGTACCATGACTCGCGACTCGCCAGCCATTTCGGAGTCAACCGCACTATTGCATGGCTTCGACAACGATTCCGATGGCCCGACCTCATTACCGATGTCACTCGGTATTGCGACTCTTGTGAAGTTTGCCGGCGAAGCAAGCCCCGCAATCGCAATCCCTACGGCAAGTTGCGCCCGATGCCTATCCCACAGGAACTCGGCCTCTCCATTGCCATGGATGTCACCGGACCATTTCCTCGCGATCACCTCGGGCACGACGGCATCCTCACGGTTGTGGACCATTTGAGTAAGTATGCGCATTTTCTCCCTTGCAAGTACTACTCCACGGCTCCCGAGCTGGCACGCCTGTTGCACACCGGTTGGATTTGCGGCCACGGTGTACCGGAAGACATAGTCAGCGACCATGACACTCGCGTCATGTCGACATTTTGGACTGCTCTCATGCAGGAGTCCGGCACGAAGATGAAACCAAGTTCGGCTCGACATCCACAGACGGACGGGCAAACAGAGCGGGCACATCAAACCGCTCAAATGATGCTTCGTACGCTCATCTGTCCGGGCCAGAAAGATTAGGTTGACCGCCTCCCCGACATCGAGTTCACCTACAACACTTCGGTGCACCCGGCGATCGGCGTGACTCCATTCGAGTTGCACCACGGTGGACGGAAAGGCCGTATCTTCGCCGACCTTCTCCTCCCACGACCAGCCGACATCGAAGCCGCTTGCTCTCCCGCTTCCGTCCGGAAGTACAGGGAATTGCTGGCTCAAGCCCGCACGAATATGCAAAAGGCTCAAGTCCGCATGCAGCAGCAAGCCAACAGGCATCGCGTGCCATGTCCCATCCGCGCCAATGATCTGGTTTGGGTCTCCGGGGAAGAGTTTGCACTAGAACAGGATGTTTCACGCAAACTGCTTCCCAAGTGGTTTGGACCATGGCCCGTAACATCAGTCGCGGACGATGAGCCCGATGGCCCTTCATTTGTGATCAACATCCCCCCGCATCTGATGGTCCATCCAGTCTTTCACGCCTCGAAGCTGGCAACATATACGCCAGCTAAGAGCGACGACTTCCCGGGCCGACGATCGCAGGACCCTCCATCTATGGATGGTCATCAGGAAGTTGACCGCGTCATCACTGATCGCAAGTACGTCAATAAGCCTCGACAGTACAAAGTTACATTCAAAGCATGCGATCCCGACGACACTCGGTGGATTTCAGGAACAGATTTGAAAGCATCCACACCGCTGATCTACAGGCGACAAAGGTTAGCTCAGGGACCTTCACGACCTGCCCCTCCCACCCGGACTGTGGTCCCTCCCTCAGACAGACAGCTTCGCCCTCGCAGGTAAGCTCGGTCTTTCAAGGAGGGGGGGGTGTGGCATACTGCGTAGCCACATGGGCCTACAGGGCCCGTCCCGCTTTCTCAGCCTAATAGCCTAGAAATAAGGCCTGTCGTTTCAGCTTGAAAACTGAAAACGAGGGCCTGCAGGCCCTATTTTGTTTTCAGCCTAAAACATGGCTTTTCAGCCCTGAGGCTTTTCAGCCTGAAACGGAGGGCCACTTTCGGGCCCTCATAGATCGACCTACCCTAACACTCAGGCACAAAACCAGGNGCCCCTCCCACCCGGACTGTGGTCCCTCCCTCAGACAGACAGCTTCGCCCTCGCAGGTAAGCTCGGTCTTTCAAGGAGGGGGGGGTGTGGCATACTGCGTAGCCACATGGGCCTACAGGGCCCGTCCCGCTTTCTCAGCCTAATAGCCTAGAAATAAGGCCTGTCGTTTCAGCTTGAAAACTGAAAACGAGGGCCTGCAGGCCCTATTTTGTTTTCAGCCTAAAACATGGCTTTTCAGCCCTGAGGCTTTTCAGCCTGAAACGGAGGGCCACTTTCGGGCCCTCATAGATCGACCTACCCTAACACTCAGGCACAAAACCAGGGTTTCGGGAACAGGCTATCTTTAGCCTGTTCCCACGACAGCCTCAAGCAGGAGCTGCCGCGGCAGCCCCTGACTCCCTTCGGCATTGGCAAGAGCAGCCTCCTGGACTGCCTCGCCCTGTAGTCAGGAGGCAGGTCGAGTAGTACATAGGGAGTTCCCATGCACTTCACGGGTAGGTAGTTGGACAGAAGGCAGGATTAGTCTTCCGGATTCGGCCGCAACACTCAGGAGGAGCGTTGCAGGAGTAGCTTAGCGCTAGCAGTAGTCTTCAGCGCTGGGCGCCAGTAGCCATAGCAGTAGTCTTCAGCGCTGGGTGCTAGTAGGTGGTAGTAGTAGAGTTGGGAGAGATGGCTGGCGGAGGCTAGTGGGACTTACCTGTGGCACCATAACTCCAGCTCCATCTTCGAGGTACCTGCATCAAGGCGCCAACTTCACAGGTTAGTACTGGACTGAGAGAGAGAGAGAGAGAGTTCTTCTTCCTCTTCTAAGTCCACCATCTCTTCTTCCCCTCTCACCGCCTGACTTCTCAGTATCAACAGACTACGAGAGAGAGAGAGAGAGAGAGAGTTGTGACTTGAGACTTGACGACATTGGATCTAGACTCGACATTGGGATTCAGACATTTTGACGAGGGACTATTTGGGCCTGTGCCAAAGACTTGGTGTTGACGACATTCCCATCTTCCCCTCTTCTTTGTCTAACCCCCCTCTTCTTCGTCTGTGTATGGTTGGGGCTGGTGCATTCTTCCTGTGTAAGCGCCAGACCCCTTCACACCATGGAATGATGATGATGATGTATGTTCAGGGCTGCATTGCAATATTGATTGTTCGGATCATTGGTATCTAAGTTTTCTGCTGCGCTATCTTGTACTTTGTTAGAGAGGTCGGTTCTTGTTCTGGTCTGCACCTTTACAGTATGCAACAGTCATAGTCCAGTCAAGCAAGTACCGTGTGGGACTGTGTGCACCAGGGGCATGGGAAAGGGGCAGACGAACGAGCTACAGAAGTATAAATCAAAAGGCAACGCCCAACCATTCAGTCGTTCCTCCGTAAGCCCTGCTGAAGTGCTGCTTGACTGACTTGTGCGAGGTGGTCTGGAGAGCGCCCGAAGACGAAGTGGAGAGAGTAGTTGTATAGCCATAGCCAGCAGGGTGGAGCGGCCATAGCCGTCGTAGGTGGTAGTCAAGTGTAGTGTGTACGTGTGTGTGATACAGAGAGTCGCGTGTGGGATATGCAGGGTGATCCTGAGTTGAGTGTGTGTAAACAGTGGAGTTGAGCACAGTGACGAACAGAGAGTTGTACGGCACTGATGCGCCATAGCTTGTGGAAGTGAGCATGTATCTGAGTTGTGTTTCCGACTTCCATATCTCTAAGCGCTGAGTGGGCGCTGAGCGCCAGTGTGACTTGCCATCTGTTTGCGTGAATGCGTAGTGGAAAAGAAAGCGAGTCAGATTGCATTGGAGAACGACGCCGGGCGCACCTGCAAAGAAGACAACCGAGAGAGAGAGAGAGAGAGAGAGAGAGAGAGAGAGAGAGAGAGAGAGAGAGAGAGAGAGAGAGAGAGAGAGA